CCCTGACAGGAGGAGGGCATCTGGGGAGGTAAGCTATTTATTTTAAATACCCTGGCTTGTTTCTACTGACTGTGTTCGGTCAATCCTCCGCTGAATACACCACATATGTCTCTTTGCTTGGCATCATAATATAGTTTTGTGAAGTGTGGCACTTGAGTTGACCAGTTCCCAGCTGCAATTTAACTAATCCTGTCTTCCCTTTTTATCATAGTTGTATCTTTCATAGCAATCTGAATACCCACACATACACAGAATAATGTCAAACAATAGTAGATCATTAGTTACATAAACACACACACCTTTGTTTGGAGGAATAAGCTTTGTTTTTGAGGGTGCCCTTAGTAAAATGCAGCAGGTGTTCCTGACTAGCATGTTAATTCCATGTTGCTTAATTTCAAGGGCTACTTACATCACAGAATTTACTCACCTACATTAATCAATACCGAATCCATACATGTGACATTTTACATCCATGAACTAAAGTCAAATCTATTTTAGAACAAGTATATAATTGTTGGTGTTTATAACTGTGTTTCTCCATCTCATCTCCCCAACATCTTGTTAATTTGTTTTTGCATACACACAAGGCTGTATTCTTGTTTGATAGTTGGAGATATACAGTATATAACGTTCAAGTATGTCGGCATTGTGTCACAACATTATGTACTGTAATATATGCCAGGCTTCTGAGTGCAGCAGGAAGGGTCGCTGTCCGTGGTGCTGAAAGTTTCTCTTGAAATGTAACAGAAATAAGGACTTCGTATAGCAGTCTAGATTCTTAAAAATAATAGCTTTTTAAGAGGGATGTGATCGTGACTTGAGTCCATTGCTTAACAAAAATGACTGTTGAAGCAAAGCTTTGATATGAACCCGTTGTTTGCCTTTTTCTCGTTGTATGAACTTTTGATTTTATTGTATATCTTAGTTAAACTGTGCTGCAATAACGTTCTGGATCGCATGGTGTCGGTATAATGACAAATTGTATCTCTCTAACTTTTCGTCATCACCATTAGGTCCAACCCTGTATTTCGGCATTAAGTGTAAAGGGCTTGAACACGAAACTAGCTCTGTACAATTCCTAGGGCTGTCTTGGTGATGGAGCGCAGTTTTCAAAGGAATAAGGCTTATTATTATTTTTCAACCATACCTTCATAAATCCGGGATTTGTTTTTTAATACATAATGGAACAAAGCGGCCGACAGGCGTGGATAGAGCGATGGAGATGCATCGCCTACATGGTGGCTTTGGTAACGTTTTGGACCGAAGCCTCAGCTCAGATCAGATATTCCATCTCCGAAGAGGTGAAAGAAGGAAGTGTTGTTGGAAATATCGCGAAAGACTTAGGAATTGACAAGGCTACGCTGAAAAGTAGAGAGTATCGCATTGTTGGCAGTTCAACGGAACCCCTTTTTCGTTTGAATCAGGACGACGGTATGCTGTATGTCAGTAGGAAAGTGGACAGAGAAGAGATCTGTGAACGAAGCAACGCATGTGTAATCAACCTTAAAACAGTGCTAGAAAATCCGCTGGAAATCCATTACGTGGCCGTAGAGGTGCTGGATGTAAACGACCACTCCCCCGTCTTTCCAGAGAAAGAGAAACGACTGGAGGTGTTTGAATCCACATTACCGGGAGCCAGGTTCCAGCTCCAACCTGCGCGCGACCCCGATGGCGGTCAGTTTACTGTTCAGCAGTATAGACTAAGCCACAACGATCACTTTCGTTTGGAAGTTAAGGAGAGAGGCGAAGACCGCAAGATGCCCTTTCTGATTTTACAGAAGCAGTTAGACAGAGAGGCGATGAGAGAGCACAAGCTAACGCTTACAGCTATTGATGGTGGGAGGCCGGCGAGGTCTGGAACAATAGAAATACTAATTGAGGTGCTTGATGTTAATGACAATTCGCCGGTTTTTACAAAAGATGCATATTCGGCTATTCTAAATGAAAACTCGGTCCCTGGCACGTTAGTTATTCAGGTTAATGCCACTGATTTGGATGAGGGTGCAAACAGCGAAATTGTTTACTCATTTGGAAAAGAAATGGATATACATTTGCAAACAATATTTAACATAGACCCGATAACAGGCGAAATTAAAGTGACAGGTGTAATTGATTTTGAAGAAAATGAAAGTTATGAAATTGATATACAAGCTTCAGATAAGGGCACTATACCTTTTTCAACAGACAAAACTGTATTAATAAAGGTAATTGACCTTAACGATAATGCTCCAGAGATTGAAGTTACATCCTTTTCCAAATCAGTTCCGGAGGATTCTAGAGTTGGAACAACAGTAGCTTTGATCAGCGTCAATGATTTAGATTCAGGCCCTAATGGGAAGGTTTCTTGCTTTATAAGTGAGGACGTTCCTTTCACTATATCTCCATCCTTGCAAGATAATATGTACGCCATAGTGACCAAATCACAACTGGACAGAGAAGAAAAGTCTTTTTATGAACTTACAGTTGTTGCAAAGGACGCTGGTCAACCACCATTATCATCTGAAAAGACAATAAGTGTGGTGGTATCGGATGTGAATGATAACAGTCCACAGTTTTCACTGAGCCCATATACGTTCTATATTACTGAAAATAATGACCTAGTATCACCAGTATTTTCTGTTAGGGCATCTGACCTTGATGATGGTGATAATGCTCATATTTCATATCACATTCTAAGAGACAACAATGGACATAGTATTGGTCTTTTTTTAAATATTAACTCTGAAAATGGAGATATATTGGCACTAAAAAGTTTTGATTTTGAAAC